GTGTCTGCGATGGCAGGAATTTTGTTCAAGAGGGTCAGATAGTATCTAGAGTCAGACCTATCACCAGTAGAAAGAGTTCAGAGGCAGCAACAGGGGCTGCCAGATGCGAGGCTGGGCTGTTTAAAAAGCCCTTCCTGGTGCTCTCAGACTACTGCCAGTTACAATAAGATCAGTAAAAAAAAGAAACCCTTCATTTCTCAGTCAGACACACATGCACGCATGCACATGCGCATTACTCTACCAAAAAGTGTTGCATGGAAGATTGGGAAGAGACCAAGGGAAATCTGGCAGTAGTCTTTGATGCTGCAGTGGAGCAGACAGTGATTTTCTTGGGTCAACATTCAGTATTTTATGAACAATTTGTCCTTTGTAGTGGTTGCCTCAATCAGAAGTTAAGTCCTTTTATTTGCATATATAAAGAACCTAGGAGTCATGGTGCACTAGTACAATATTATTTGCTGACATTTCAGCAACACTTCTCAAAACAAACATCAAAAGGGTAATCCGAGACAACAAGGTGCAGGGCTGGATGAACACAGCAGGCCAAGCAGCATCATAGGAGCAGAGAGGCTGACGTTTTGGGCCTAGACCCTTCATCAGAAAAGGGGGAGGGGAAGGGGGTTCTGAAATAAATAGGGAGAGAGTGGGAGGCGGATAGAAGAGGGATAGAGGAGAGGATAGGTGGAGAGGAAACAAACAGGTCGAAGAGGCGGGGATGGAGCCAGTAAAGGTGAGTGTAGGTAGGGAGTTAGGAAGGGGATAGGTCAGTCCAGGGAGGACGGACAGGTCAAGGGAGTGGGATGAGGTTGGTCAGTAGGAGATGGGGGTGCGGCTTGAGGTGGGAGGAGGGGATAGTTGGGAGGAAGAACAGGTTAGGGAGGCAGGGACGAGCTGGACTGGTTTTGGGATGCGGTAGGGGGAGGGGAGATTTTGAAACTTGTGAAATCCACATTGATACCATTGGGCTGCAGGGTTCCCAAGCGGAATATAAGTTGCTGTTCCTGCAACCTTCGGGTGGCATCTTTGTGGCACCCGATAGCCTTAGCCTCCGAGTCGCCAGATTACAGGCGCACGCCACTGCGCCCGGCAGTGCCACAACGATGCCACCCGAAGGTTGCAGGAACAGCAACTCA